GCTGACAGCAAGACTAAGGATGAGGACCTTGCAGTTGTGGTTCCTGCATCACTACAATCCAGTGATGGTACCACCCTCCCTCAGAATCGCCATCCCAAGTACAATTCAACAGTCATTACTTTGGTGGACAATTATGGAACAATAGGAATGCCTTTCAGGCAGAAGGAGGCGGAACTCACAGTATATACTGATGCCTCCCTAGAGGGATGGGGAGCACATTGTGGCAGCCTATCTATTCAAGGTCGATGGATGACAGAACACAAACATTTTCACATCAATATGCTGGAACTCCTGGCAATGAAGCATGCACTTCACTTATTCCTGCCAAGACTAAAAAACAAATCCGTCAGAGTGGCAACAGACAACACCACGGCAATGTTCTATATCCTCAAGCAGGGAGGAACAGCATCCACGGTTCTGTGCAAAGCAACCATAGAGCTGTGGGAGTGGTGTCTGACCCACAACATACAATTGTCCGCCATGCACGTTCCAGGTGTGGAAAATGTGCAAGCAGATGCGCTGAGTCAAACATATACAGAACAACACAAATGGTCACTAAAGTCATCGTACCTCCCTGGACACCTTTGCTTCAGCAGAAAACACAAAGTGTGCACTCTTCTACTCAAGTCCGAGAGACGCCGAAGCCGACGCAGATGACCCAAGAGAGAAAAATCCCTCCACTGGGTGCCGGTAGGGATTGTCCCCACCCCCGGAAAAAGTGTGGCCATAGGTTAGGGATAATGTGTAACTGTAGCCGCTCAGAGACCCCTTCGGGGATTAGAGCGGGGTAGTAAGTTGAAACAATAAATAAATAAATGACACCGCCCATCCTAAGGAGCGCTGGGGAATGCGTTCCTGCATCAATGGACAGGCCATTTATTCTATATGTTTCCCCCAATTCCTTTAATTCCCCGGATACTACAGAAAATACTGGTCGACCGGACAAGGGTTGTCTTAATTGCTCCATGGTGGCCGAGACAACTATGGTTCCCACTGCTAATACACCTGGCAAAGGGCCAGTACCTTCCATTGCCTGTAGAACCGGATCTGTTATCCCAAGGGAAGGGCAAAATCCTGCATCACAACCCGGGGTTGTTCAGACTAACGGCTTGGAACATTCAGGCATGAATTTACCAGAGGCAGTGACTGATATACTGGTAAATGCCAGGAAACCATCCACGAGAGCATCTTATCACCACAAGTGGAAGCGTTTCGATTTATATATCAGGGAACAGGGCATAAATCCAACCAGTGCCCCCATACCTCTGATCCTGACGTACCTGACTGACTTGTACCAAACCGGACTAGGTTTTTCCTCAGGCAGCATTTAGCAGCGATCTCTGCTCACCACAGCTTGGTAGAAGGGCGAACTTTGTTTTACCATCCTACTATGAAATCTTTTCTAAAAGGGCTAAGAAACATCTGCCTACCACGAAAACCACTGGTTCCATCATGGAGCCTATCTCTAGTTCTTTCCCAATTAATGGGAGAACCATTCGAACCTTTAGCAACAGTCTCACTCCACTTACTCACATGGAAAACAGCATTCCTCGTAGCCGTAATTTCAGTGAGGAGGGCAAGTGAACTGTGTGTGCTGAGGATAGACCAGCCATTCATGATCTTCCATGCTGACAGAGTGGTTCTGAGGCCTGAACCCTCCTTTATCCCCAAGGTGGTATCACCATTCCACCTCTCACAAACTATAACCCTCCCATCGTTTTTCCCAGAACCAAAAGACGACGTGCAGCGGGCATTACATATGCTAGATGCAGGGGTCGTTTCGTAGAAAAAGAGCTAGCGGAACTCATTAGCATAACTCATTAGCATATGCCACACCCCCTGACATCACCGGAAGTGTGTCATAAGGCCACACCCCCTGACATCACCAGAAGTGTGTCATAAGGCCACACACCCCGCCCCCAACAGTCCCGGCCGTCGCCGCCGGCCTTGCAGCTCCACTGCCGAGCCCCATGAGGGGCCCAGCGGTGGACCTGTAAGGCCGGCGGGAGTGCAAGGAAGCCCCGCGAAGGCTCTCCCTGGCCCCAGGCAGGCAAGGGTGGGGAGAGGCAGGGAGGAAGCACCCTCCCTCTTCTCCTGCCTCCTCCTGGCTGAATGAGGGCCGGAAGCGGGGTGGCCGAAAGCAGGGGGCGGGGCTTTGTCATGTGCCCCGCCCCCCGTACCTCACCCGGGGGAACTGCAATCCCCCCCGAAATGACCTCTGGCTAGATGTTCACAGAGTTTTGTGTTTTTATCTATCCAGAACTCATAGTTTTAGGAAAGATAGGAGATTATTTGTTTGTTATTCAGAACCACAAATGGGCTTACCAGTTTCTAGACAAAGGTTCTCAAAGTGGGTATCCTCAGCTATGGCTCTAAGCTAGCAGCTGGTGAAGGAACCATTACCAGATATAGGCTGAAAGCACATTCAGTAAGGGCAGTGGCAACCTCAACTGCATTTATGGCAGGAGTCTTTCTGGAGGAAGTGTGTCGGTCTTCCCATTCTACCTTTGCCACACATTACGTTCTGGATGTAAGAGCTAGAAAGGATGCCAATTTTGGTAAAACACTACTTGAGTCCATTCTCCATTAAATAGGTTCAGGTAGTTCTATGCTAACTTCTGTTTGACAAAGTTTTTGTTCTGTAACTAAGAGAAACCACATATGAGTCTGTCATTTGTGCGTGAAAGGGGAGCTACTGTTAGATTAGGTAATGTAACTAGACAAAGACACATTGGAGTTTGTCTTAAAGTTTTGATACGGATTCTTATTATTATTTGAGTTATGTTATGTAACTAGAAACAGAACAGAGTTTACACTTACAGAGCTGTCCTTGGTGTTTAATAAAAATAAAGCTGATTGAAGTCATCGGATTTTCAGTGGCAATCACTTGAGTCATGCATGTGACAGCTGCCATATACTAAGCTTGTAAGTCTCCCAGTGTGTGGAATGCACAGAGACCAAAAAGAAGATAGACAGGTTGCTTACCTGTAACTGGTGATCTTCGAGTGGTCATCTGTGCATCCACACACACACACCCAACCTTCCCCACTGCTGGCATCGATGGTCACTGCCTGTAGTAAGTGGCGACTTTTCCGCGGTGCGCGAAAGGAACTGGGGTGGGGGCAAGGTCTACCTCACCTCCGAGCATGCACAGTGGGACATGCTCGCGAGGAAGGATGACCCCGCTTAGAAGAGGTTATCCTTGAAGCTTTCTAGGCTTCCAACAAGGGATCAACGCAGGCATAAATCCCAATGTGTGGATGCACAGATGACCACTCGAAGATCACCCATTACAGGTAAGCAACCTGTCTCTTTTTTTACCTCAGAACTCTGAGATCTGCAGCTGACCAATGAGAGAGTGGGGGGTGCAGGGAGAGAGCTGCCTGGGACCTGCATAGGAATCAATGGGGGGAGCACATTCCCCCCATTTTGACCCACTTAGGAGTCGGATTTCTAAAAATCCCTTCTTAGCGAGCACCTACGCCACGGTGGGAGCACTCTTCCCGAATTTGGTGTCTCTAGGTCCAGCGGTTTGGCCTGGGCATTGATTTTACAGTGAGGGGACTTTATTTTATATATATAGATGTATGTTGGAAATGTCAAAGCAATGTTGGGTCTTTTTATCATATGTGGTGGCTATGTGATAAAGCGAGAAAATATTGTTTTTAGATACATGAAATATTACAAAAAATGTCATTTGTACCAGAAGTATCTTTATTGAATATTTTACCAGAAAATTGTAAAAAAACAAGACTCTTATCTTATAATAACAGCAGCAAGAATACTTTACGCCAAATATTGGAGAAGAGACACCCTCATGATAAGAAATTGTAAATAAAATCCTGGAAACTGCTGAAATGGATAAGCTAACAAGCTCTGAAAGAACAGCCAGAGTCAACTTCTGAAAACACATGGTTGAGATTCTACAAATGGATTGAGGACTACAATAAAGAAAGCATACAGACACACAATTTATTTTAAGGATTTAAAAACTTTATTTTCACATATTAGCAAGAGGTTTCACATATTTGCAACAGCAACAGCCAGGTGAAACATATAGAATCAATTATTAGTTAAGGTATGAGATTTGTAAACAAGAAATTTAAGGAGGTAAAGGATACCCTCATTTTATGTTATGTAATGTTTATGTTTGTCTGTAAAAACTAAAAAAAATTGATTGGCAAAAAAAAAAAAGGTTTGCATAGCAAATTTGACAAAGGGCGCTTTGAGTCACCCCGAAAACCTTGTTGGTCGCTAAGATGCCTACTAGACTCGAAAGTAAACTTTAAACGCTGCTAGACTCCTTATTGATTGTGCTGCAACAGACTCCAATAATCATTAATTCTGTTTAGAATTCCTACGTAATCTGGAAAGAGCAGCGGAAAAACCAGTCTTTACACCATTCTAATCATACCGGCAGCGCATGTGACAGCATGGTAAAAGGGGCCTTTAATACAGACCGGGTGAGGTTACTTGCACCGATTGCATCATCAACCCTGTTATATGATCTCCCACTCAGTACCCTAAATTAGGAAGACGATGTCAGGATGTGACGAGACCCTGATGACACTTCCCGTTCTTTTATAGCTCGGCGGACAAGCGTCTACTCCCCTAACCGAAGGTTTCGAAACCCGCCTGCATCCCGACATCTACGCTAAAGGAAACGCGAGAAAAGTTTGCTGTTACCAACAGACAGAGGACTCTAATACGCCTGCGCGGTTGCGTTCCCAGGGATCCGGAGAGCATGCGCAAATCTTCCTGAAAAACCTTTAGGGGTGGGGCCTTCGTCCTGAACAGCGCGCTGCTAGCTCCTCCTTTCAGAGCGGGAGCGTCTCAGGCAAGGCAAGAACCGGCATTGGGGGGGGGGGGGGGGGGGTGCGGTCTGGCAGTCCCGGTGGTGGGAGAGAGGCTCGGCGCCGAGGACGGGGGTGGCGCTTGGGCTAATGCCGGGAGAGGGAGGCTGCGAGGAGGGTAGTTCTCTCAGTTTCTCCCGTGTTAATTGCTCTCTGCTGAGCGCGGGGAAGGGGGCGCCTGCCCAGAAGGGAGGAGCGAGCTCTGAAGCCTTTTTGGTCGTTTGGTAGCCATAGGTAGGAACTTTGTACATGCTCAGAGGTGCTTCTCATTGTTAATGCTTGCCACGTTCTTCGAGTTAGTTCCGAACTCTACTAAGGTGTTGGCAGAAATCATCACACGCAGCCTGGCGGGGGGAGAGGTGGTAGGAGCGGCGGTTCTTCTCGCTCTTTCACGCACAATTGTGAAATTTAATGGGGACATTTGGGAAGTGGGAGCTCCCGTTCCCGGAACAGGAAATGTATGAATTGTCTTAGCAAGCGGGAGAAACACTCCTTTTATTTGATGTTGGTGTATAGTGATTCGTGGTAAGCGACGCTCCGCAGCTATTATTTTAGTTTATGGTTCTCCTTTCTTGCTGAGACTCAAGGCAGAGTACTTTCTCTGTTTCCCCCGGTGTAAGTACTTACCCTGTGAGGTAGCATGAGGTTCAACGTCTGTAGTGATTCAGATAGGGAAAATAAGTGGTCCCGATTTGATGTGAAATTCAAGCTTTCCTTAAACTCTTTAGGCTTGTACAACCTCTGCACAGAGCACAGAAAATATTCATGGTCTTATGCAGGTTAAACAGTCTGTTGCTGCCTTGCTAGTAGCCTAGCAATGATAGGAATGTAGGGAGCTGAAGCTCTCTGCACACCTGAACTTCAAGGATTAGGAGCTCTGAACAGTGCTTAAACCCTTGAAATTAAGAATATGAGAATTACTTTGTTGGGTCAGGCCAAAGTCTGCCTAGCTTGTCATTCTGTTTCCAGCAGCAGCCAGGCAGATGACTCTGGAAACACAAACAATGCACAGAAGTGATGGTATGCCTTTTTCTAGCATCTGTTATTTAACTGCAGGGTGCCCCTGTACAGTGGAGTTCCATTTTATTGTTGTTAACAATAGTTCATCCTTGGGACAATGACAGAGAGTGGGATTGTTTAAAAAAATATCCCTGTGCAAGAGAACTTCCCATTTGGGAAAGAATTCTTTCTATGTTCTGTCTGTGAATACTAACTTGTGTTCAGTGTTATATATAGTGTATTCATTTGTTGAATAGAGAAGTCCATTCCACTGCATGCAGAATGTCGGTTCTGACCACAAACGATTAGGCCTTTTTCTTAACCCTGAACAGCAGTTTAGGAGGAGCAGTGCTTGTCATGCAGTTCTAGAAATATAGATCTAGGGAAACAATGGGTGTATGTAGGGTTGCCAGCTCCAGGTTCGGAAGTTCCTTGGGATTTGGGGATGGAACCTGGGGAAGACAGGATTGGGGCGAGGGGGGACTTCAGTGGGGGGTATAATGCCATAGAGCCCCCCCTCCAAAGCAGCCATTTTCCTCCAGAGGAACTTACCTCTGTCACCTGGACATCAGTTGCAATTCCAGGAGATCTCCAGGGCCCATCTGGAGGCTGGCAACCCCTGGTGTGTGTGCCGTAGCTAAATGTACTGCAACCAGACATCTCTAAAGTTCGTTTTCTGAATTATCATTTCTAGGCAACACTTTTCCTAGTTTGGTTTTTGATCTGGCCTCCATTAAGATAATCTTCTTTGGCAACTGAGGGCACAGCCAATGATAGAAGAGTTTTTAACTTTCTTGGGTGGGCAAGGTTTTTGGAAGAACAACTTCAGGTATACCTGGTTGGTATGCCTTACCTCAGTCTATTTCAGTCTGGCTTCAGCCAGGAGATGCCCTGGTTGCTTTGATAGACAATATTTGTTTATAGCTTGACATCAGCTTTTATGGAATTTGATCTTTAAATGGCTTTTGACATTTGATTTGTCATGTTTGGGGGGGAAAGGTTGGTGTTAAAAGGAAAGCTCTTACCCCTCGTTGTCAAGACACATGGAAGGGTTTGCACTGGCAATGCTGAATTATCCGTTTGGCGTCTGGCCTGTTGTACTGCCTCAGCTTGTGGTGTTGTCACTGATGCTCTTTCACACTTAGGTCATGTAGCTGAATGACACTGCCCAAAACTTTGTGGCTTAGTCCATATAAGATGGGGGTGATACTGATTGCTAAGGGTGAGTGTCTGAAAGGGCACCATCACTTACCTTGGATGTGGTTAAATTAGATTCAGATCAGGTGAAAGATTTGGTGGTGCTTTTGGACCCAACTATGTTATTTAAGAAGCACGTTTCCAGTTTTTAATACAGTGCTAGATGGTTTCCCTATTTGAGATTGGGCTTCTTTTGATGACTGAGATTATTGTATGTAACATATATTGTATGAGTCAGATTGAGGTGACGAGAGAGGAGGTCCTAAAATTGATAGACAACTCAAAAACTGATAAATCACCAGGCCCAGATGGCATACATCCGAGAGTTCTGAAAGAACTCAAATGTGAACTTGTGGATCTCCTGACAAAAATATGTAATCTTTCCTTAAAATCTGCCTCCATTCCTGAGGACTGGAAGGTAGCAAATGTCACTCCCATCTTTAAAAAGGGTTCCAGAGGAGATCCGGGAAATTACAGGCCAGTCAGTCTGACGTCGATACCGGGTAAATTGGTGGAAACCATTATTAAGGAAAGAATTAGTAGGCACATAGATGAACAAAACCTATTGAGGCAGACTCAACATGGGTTCTGTAAGGGAAGATCTTGTCTCACTAACCTATTAGTGTTCTTTGAGGGGGTGAACAAACATGTGGACAAGGGGGATCCAATAGATATTATTTACCTTGACTTCCAGAAAGCTTTTGATAAAGTTCCTCATCAAAGGCTCCTAAGCAAGCTCAAAAATCATGGGATAAAAGGACAAGTCCTTTTATGGATCAAAAACTGGCTAATTAATAGAAAACAGAGAGTGAGTATAAATGGGCAGTTCTCCCAGTGGAGGGGGGTAAGCAGTGGGGTACCACAGGGATCAGTACTTGGTCCACTGCTTTTTAACTTGTTCATTAATGATTTGGAGTTGGGAGTAAGCAGTGAAGTGGCTAAATTTGCGGATGATACAAAGTTGTTCAGGGTGGTGAAAACCAGTGAGGATTGTGAGGCACTCCAAAGGGATCTGTCAAAGATGGGCGAGTGGGCGTCAACATGGCAAATGGGGTTCAATGTGGCCAAGTGCAAGGTGATGCACATTGGAGCCAAAAATCCTAAATATAAATACACATTGATGGGGTCTGAACTGGCAGAGACTGAGCAAGAGAGAGATCTTGGAGTTGTAGTGGATAACTCACTGAAAATGTCGAGACAGTGTGTGACTGCAATAAAGAAGGCCAATGCTATGCTGGGGATTATTAGGAAGGGTATTGAAAACAGATCAGCCAATATAATAATGCCCCTATATAAATCAATGGTGAGACCTCATTTGGAATACTGTGTGCAGTTCTGGGCACCACACCTTAAAAAGGATATTATAGCTTTGGAAAAAGTGCAGAAAAGGGCAACTCGAATGATAAAAGGGTTGGAACACTTTCCCTATGAGGAAAGGTTAAAGCGCTTAGGGCTCTTTAGCTTGGAGAAAAGACGACTGAGGGGTGACATGATCGAGGTTTATAAGATTATGCATGGGAAAGAGCAGGTAGAGAAAGAGGTACTTTTCTCCCTTTCTCACAATACAAGAACCCGTGGGCACTCCATGAAATTGCTGAGCGGTCGGGTTAGAACGGATAAAAGGAAGTACTTCTTCACCCAAAGAGTGATTAACACATGGAATTCACTGCCACAGGAAGTGGTGGGTGCTACAAGCATGGACGGCTTCAAAAGGGAATTAGATAAGCATATGGAGCAGAGGTCCATCAGTGGCTATTAGCCACAAGGTATAGCTAGGGGCTCTGGGGCAAGTGATGCTCTGTCTTCTTGGTGCTTGGGGGGGGGTCAACAGTGGGAGGGCTTCTAATGTCCTGGCCCCACTGCTGGACCTCCTGATGGCACTGGTATTTCTGGCCACTGTGTGACACAGAGTGTTGGACTGGATGGGCCTTTGGCCTGATCCAACATTGGCGTCTCTTATGTTCTTATGACACTGTCATTTAGGTATTATGTAAGAATCTGATTACTAAGAGTGTGCATTTGAATACATCCAAGTGAAATGAAGCCCAAAATTGGCTGTTTCAGGTCAGAGGACGTCCTTCTTCACCCAAAGAGTGATTAACACTTGGAATTCACTGCCACAGGAAGTGGTGGCAGCTACAAGCATGGACGGCTTCAAAAGGGAATTAGATAAGCATATGGAGCAGAGGTCCATCAGTGGCTATTAGCCACAAGGTATAGATAGGGGCTCTGGGGCAAGTGATGCTCTGTCATCTTGGTGCTTGGGGGGGTCAACAGTGGGAGGGCTTCTAATGTCCTGGCCCCACTGGTGGACCTCCTGATGGCACTGGTATTTCTGGCCACTGTGTGATACAGAGTGTTGGACTGGATGGGCCTTTGGCCTGATCCAACATTGGCATCTCTTATGTTCTTATGTTCTTAACATTGGCCAGATTTTATTGTGGATTTTAATGTGTAATTGATGCCATTTGGATGTATGTTGTTAATTGCATTTTACTGTAAACTGCCATAAGCCCCTCTGGGGAGAGGTGGGGTATAAACAAGCTGTGAATGCATCCCAGTGGTAACCTGTGAGGATCTCTTGTGAATGTTGAACTTCAGTGTATATATGGCAATATTTCAATTATCCGTTCTAAAAACTTGTGAATCCTATGTAAAGCAATGGCATATCTTACAACAGTTCTAAGAGTCAGGAATAATTCTGTTCTCATCCTTTCCAGGCATCAAATGCAATGAGGCAATATAACATTTCAGAACTGAGGAATTTCCCTTTTTCATTTAAGGTAACGTGTGAAGATTATCTAATTAACTGTGTTCTGAACTATATTACTCATTTAAATATCTGGATATATTCATGTCCGCATTTTCTACAGTGCTGTAAAAACATAACAGCTACATATGTTGCTTTGAGAGAGTTGCTGATTGTTTTCTGCCTCAGTTCATGGCCTTTCTCCAATGGTTGATCCACTACTCTGACTGGTAGTAGCTCTGATTTCAGTGCTTCCCCAGTGGGAAGTGTCCCTTTATCCAGGCTTCCTTTTGTAAAGTGGTTCTAGAAGGCAACCCTACTTCACCCTATAGTGGTTCACTGTCTTCTGTACTGGTGAGTTCATGTGGCTCTGCAGGCACTAGCCCAAACTTCCTTTGAATTACTGAGAAAAACTCATCTGAAGGTCCTATTTGTAGTAACAGTAAGATCAGCCAGGAGGGTTTCAGAGTTGAGCACTCTGTATCCAATTGCCAAGACCTGTGATCTTTCCCTGAAGACAAGGTCAAGCTCTGCCCCGACTTGATTTTCATAGGTAGAGTAAAGGTTCCCTTGCTCAAAAGCCAGTCAAATCTGACTCTAGAGTTGTGGTGCTCATCTCCGTTTCAAAGCCGAAGAGCCAGCGCTGTCCAAAGACATTTCCGTGGTCATGTGGCCAGCATGACTAAACACCAAGGTGCACGGAACGCTGTTACCCTCCCACTGAAGTGGTACCTATTTATCTACTTGCAATTTCTTGCTTTCGAACTGCTAGGTTGGCAGGAGTTGATTTTCATGACAAAGGATAAATTCAGTTTTCAGTCATTTGCAAGAAATCTGTGTCATGTCATTCTGCCCCCATGAGGGCAAATATTGGCACTTGCTAGTTCTCCAGTGTGCCCTCTGTATTTATCTTAGACACTACACTTTTCCACTAATCAGATTGTCTTTCTGTAGCTTACCATCTGGTCATCAGTCTCTAAGGGGACTCTGAGAAAACAGATCCTGCTCTGAAGCATGCTTATCTAAGTGTCTGGAAGTACCATGCTGGATTACTGTTTGTTCAGTTCACTGTGTAGTTACTTCTGCAGCCTTTGAGAGCAATACTTCCATCTTTGGTACTTGCAAGCTGCAACATGGGCATCAGTGTTCATTTTTGTCAAGAACTTCAAACTAGGTAAATGTTGCTCACCATGAAAGCTCATTTCTCTTAAGGAAAAAGACAGCATTCTGGACCCATCCTGGCTTTTGGGGTGTGTTTGTGTCAGGATAACTCTTAGCTGCTTCAACTATGTTGGGGTGGGAGCTATCTTGACTGCTTTCTAATCCTAGTTTGAATAAGTTCCACTGTTTTCATTGTTTTTCTTGCCAGCTTGCATTGTTATATGTTCTTCTGTCATGTTCAGTTATTCGGATATTGACAACCAACACAGCATTTTTAATTAGTTAGGGTTGACTAACTCATAGAAGCATGCAGTGCAAATGAAGTCTTTGCTAAAAAAGCATCCAGACTGAAAGTGGTGGGCACTCCCTCTCAAGATCAGCCTACTTCCTGCTACCAGGGATGATGGGTAGGAGAGTAGCTGAATGTTCCACAATATTCTATTTTTCCTCAAGCAAAATGAATCTTGACAGTAAGTCCAGTGTTTCAGTCTCTTCCCTATTTCCTACAGTTGGCTGGGAAGTTTCAGTGATCTAGCTTGGAAAGCTGCATCACCTGAAAAAGTAAACTTTAGCTTCTGAAAATATATTTCTTGATTCTGTACTCTTCCATTGCCCCATTATCTTTACCCACAGCATTTTCTTATCCCTCTCCTCCATTAACTTTCAGTCTCTTTTCTTGTCATTTCTGCATACTACTGCTGTAGTTTTTGTGTGCATGTGCAGTCCTTCACTTCTGGCCTCATTGCAATAATTTCGTCTTCTGCACAGAAGCCAGGACTTTACTGTTAAGTATAATGATGGTTTGAACTATTGCACAATTGCACTCATATCACACGCTAGCAAGGTCATGCTCAAGATCCTACAAGCTAGGCTTCAACAGTACGTGGATAGAGAACTGCCAGAAGTACAAGATGGGTTTTGAAGAGGTAGAGGAACTAGAGATCAAATTGCCAACATTCGCTGGATTATGGAGAAAGCAAGAGAGTACCAGAAAAACATCTACTTCTGCTTCATTGACTATGCTAAACCCTTTGACTGTGTGGATCACAACAAACTATGGCAGGTCCTTAAAGAGATGGGAGTACCAGACCACCTCACATGTCTCTTGAGAAACCTGTATAAGGGTCATGAAGCAACCGTTAGAACCGGATATGGAACAACTGATTGGTTTAGCATAGGAAAAGGAGTACGACAAGGATGTATATTGTCACCTTGCTTATTTAATATATATGCAGAGTACATCATGTGAAATGCTGGCCTGGATGAATCACAAGCAGGAATTAAGATTGCTGGGGAAAAGATCAACAACCTCAGATATGCAGATGATACCACTCTAATGGCAGAAAGTGAAGAGGACCTAAAGAGCCTCTTGCTCAGGGTAAAAGAGGAGAGCACAAAATTGGGCTTGAAGCTCAACATCAAAAACACTAAGATCATGGCATCCGGCCCCATCACTCCTTGGAAAATAGAAGGGGAAGTCGTGGAAGTAGTGACAGACTTCACGTTCCTGGGATCCCAGATCACCGCAGACTGTGACAGCAGCCATGAAATTAAAAGATTTCCTTGGGAGGAAAGTGATGGCGAACCTAAACAGCATGATAAAAAGTAGAGACATCACCCTGCCAACAAAAGTCCGCATGGTCAAAGCAATGGTATTCCCAGTAGTCATGTATGGCTGTGAGAGTTGGACTATAAGGAAGGCCGAGCGCCGAAGAATAGATTCTTTTGAACTATGGTGCTGGAGGAGACTCTTGAGAGTCCCTTGGACTGCAAGAAGAACAAATCAGTCAATCCTCAAAGAAATCAACCCTGACTGTTCCCTGGAAGGCCAGATAATGAAACTGAAGCTCAAATACTTTGGCCACCAAATGAGAAGGGAGCACTCACTGGAGAAGACCCTGATGCTGGGAAAGATTGAAGGTCAAAGAAGACGGGGACGGCAAAGGATGAGATGGTTAGACAGTGTCATAGATGCAATGAACATGAAATTGAGCCAACTTCAGAGGACGGCGGAAGACAGGAAGACCTGGCGTGATCTGGTCCATGGGGTCACGAAGAGTCTGACTCAACTGCGATTGAACAACAACAACATAATGATTGTTGGTTACCTACACTAGCCTTTGTGTGGACTCCTGTACTGGGACAAGGATTTCCCTTATACGTTTTTGCTATTCTAACAGGTTTTGATGTGCTTGCTGTATTTGTTTTAGTTCTAGGCATACCAATTCACCCATCCTGTTTTCTTATTCTGACTTTTGCATGCAAGCATATATGTATTTTGTTCTTTTTGGAATGTTTTTGTCCCATTCTACCCCATCCTTATTTGAATGATATAAGTCTATCCCTTTCCTCAGCCAAACAGGTTCTTGTAGTAGCTAACAGCAGTTATGTGATATAAACAGTAAAGCACAATGCAGTACTTTTAAAGATAATACACAAAATATAAAGCATTTAAATCAGTAAAATCCACAAGATCTCTGAAAAGCAGCTGTGTATAGGGATTAGGCTAGTATATTTAATTTGCTTGTAACTTTAAACTTGGTCTAAAATGTCATTTCAAGAATAAGTCATCCTGCATTGAATATTGTTTTAAAACCTTTCCCTAAGAAATCTGGGAAGGACTAAATATGTGAAGAGAAATGGCTCATGCCAGTGAATACACTTTTCACATAGGTTTGATAATGATGAAATACAGAATATGTATAATGAAGTTCCTTCCTTGGGGGAAAATAGGGTTTATACAAAACAGATTCTTAACAAATTTAATATAATACTGGTACATAATTTGTGGGAACTCTTGAACAAAAAATGCCGTACTAAGAAAAAAACATGTAATCTAGGTATTCTCTCTGGAAATGAGCATCTACAGGAAGATGAGTCCCAATCTGAAAATCAGAGTTAATCCTGAAAGCATAGAGCATGCTCCATAGTTCACTCATGCTCCACAGAGTGAACATCAATGCTTGTTAAATATCAGCTCTTATTTGGAGGACTTGTAAAAAATTAGTTGACTCGCATGCTATTTGTATTAAATGTAGGAGCAGAAAATAACATAGTACTTTGCAGAAGCAATAGTGACCACCTTCTTTGTGTCTATAGTCACTATTACTCCTGCAAAGTACTACGTTATTTCCTGTTCCTACATTTAATACAAATAGCATGCAAGTCAACTAATATTTTATAAGACCTCCAAATAAGAGCCGCTGTTTCCCATTACTAATGAGGGAGAGGTAGCTTTTCATGTCCTTTCTCCATTTAACAAGCTCAGAGTGGCCACTTCATCCTTGCAGCTACCCTGTGAAATAGTTGAGCTGAGAGTGTGAGTGATCCAAGGTCATCCTCCAAGCTTTCAAGCCAAGTAATTGACATTATAACTATGAATGTGAACAGCTGCGTGTCCCTATCTTGGGCTGTAAGAGGTTAGTGGTCATAACTATTGGTCATTAGCATGGAAATTGCCTCTGAACATCTCCCTACCCCCCTTTTTTTCCAGTGAGCCACACCTTGAAGAACCAGACTCTTGAGACTGGCTTCTGTGGTGCCTGGATGTTGCACTCTCAATCTCGAAGTTGCTAACTTCTTGCAGAGCTAGAGTGGCTCTAAGACATTTTCTTCTTTGTCGTTGAAGAACTGCTATCAGTGTGGGGGAATGTCTGTTTATTTATTGAAAACATTTCAATGCCACTTTTCCACCCAACTCAGGGTCTCCAAGGTATCAAGCATTAAAGCATTTTAAACATTGAATTAGTGTTTATAACCAGGGGTCATTTCCTGCAGGAGCACACAGGAGGGGAGCTCCGGCAGTAAAGAGCCCAGGGGCGGAAAAATGCAACAAGCCCCACCCCCTGCTCCCAGCAGTCCTCAGTCAGAGCA